GGGTACCCCGCAGTCTTACAACAATGCCAAAACTACCTATTGGCCTAGTAAAGGATACGGCTACCACGCAGTCATACAATAGTTTCATAACTGTCGATCGGTCTAGTGAACGCTACGGCTATCCCACAGTCTTACAACACTTCCATAACTGCCATGGGCCCAACCTATGCTTTTTCTGATTACAATCAGGATACCTGACCAAAGATCACTAAAGTCTAAATCCCCTAACCTACTAGAACCTAATTAGGTGTTCGAATTATCCTTTAAACCTCAAGCCTTTATAAGAAAAGAACAGGAAGAGATTCTCTAACACCATCCTCAACCTAAACCTATTCACAAATCCATCATACACCACTAGCATTGCTTTTTCTTTTCAAACGAGGTAACCATGAATCGTCAACCCTCGATTCCTTGATTAAAACTGACCTATGACGTAATCCCTTTCATAATCCTTGAATCATACCCCATCCCAACTTGCTACTAATTGTCCTTATTTATGGAATTCTATGATGATCCACATTCGGAAATATTTCCATTAACTTCCAAACGTTTGTCCCTTACTCGGGTTCAGCTACACTCTAATAGTCTTCATAACCATTCGAACTTCCTAGATAGCCCATAAATTCAACCATCTGATCCTTGAAAAGCGTACAACTATTACTGGTCATAAAGGAAATCGGAGTACTTAAGCCATTTCCTAAAGGATTTACTACATGACTGTCATCCATAATGACATAACTCCTAGATTCCAACATGTGATCACAACCTATATCAATGAGCAACCCAACCATATTCCTTCATAACTCAAAGAATCATCCCAATCACAAGTAAGCAAACAAATCCTTTATAATCCAAACTTATCATCACAAATCCATGAACTGAATAACATTATTCTGACATCCTAACTCGCAATTCAAACGTAGATTACTCCATTCTTACTAATAAGTTGAATACTTAAAGCCGGAAAAACTAATACAACTTGAACGCCTTCGAACAGTCGCAATAACTGAACAAGTCCACATGAAAATGTAGCACCCACACCTAGAAGTTAATGGATCTCAACAGTTGCTATCATACTAGTGATAACAATCGATCATATGAGCTAATCAATCTTACATCTAACATTTAGCCTAAGGAGCACAAAAAACTATAAACTCCATCTGCATTGTCTCCAACAGAATGAATGGCTACAACAAGATCCTTTCCTGGACGTTTCCGATACGAGAAGCACATGCACATCCCTAAAAACTTGAATCTGACAGCAAATTTTTCTGCACTTGCGTTCATTCCAGTCCCTTATAGCCCTCAACTGTAAAATATCTCGACCTTATTGGATTCCAAAATCAAATGGGCTTACTTTGCTACTGGCTGACATCTCTCTGGCTTAAATCTGAAATGATCGGTTGCCCAACACTAAAGCCTCCACCCTGACCTCGCAACCATCAGTGATCCTTAATGTAGTTGGAATAGGTTCCCTTACTTTCCTTTGTCAATCTCGGACATGGAACCTTCTTGTCAACCACTTGGCTATAATGAAAGCAAATCAGATTTGAAATCGAGGACAATCCCTTCTAAAAATGTCCAGCCTTACCGCAACTAAAGCAACTTCTCCCATTCTCACGACAATTCCGCTCATGATTCGTTATATACTTGGCATAACAGACTCAAGCCTGATGGCCTTGTGATCGCGAATCCTGAATCTTGGGCCTCTTTCGTGGCCCACTGTGTGTTGAATTTACTCTGTTTCACCCTTCGTACGAAGTTGTAACTCAATCCTTGGCTACCGGGGTCTAGTAAGCATATATTGCAAAGTCTTGCATCTCGATAGCCACACAAACTCACCAATAAAATCCCACAACATATCATGGTACCTTGTCTTTCATATCGCCTCATCTGCTGCATACTGCAGAACCAGTAAAAACCATGTCCCTAAACTTAGCGGCGATCTTTGCTACAATCCTTGAAGTTTGGCGAAGGTCCTGAAATTCTATCGCCCACTGTTGATGGCCAGTGCAACTATGCCCTGATCCTCACCACAAAATCATCCCATGTCATGGCGGTCATAGCTGTCGACCCTGATTGTCCGGTTGCAATCTCGGTCTTAAGAGCCCCAAGATGCTCATCTAAAAGCTCAATTATCCCCTCCAGAAGTTCTCAGAACATACCGAACAAGTCCACATTCTACAAGCTTCCTGGAATCTCCAAGACTCTCTTTGATTTGAGTATGGATCCTATACTTTCAGTAGTACATGCCCATTACTACCTTCTACACCTATCCATACTTTCCTCAAGATTTATCATGAATCCTCTAAGTCAACTTCTAAAACTAGTACTCCAAGTACCTGCTAAACAACGCATCCAAACCCACTAAAATACTTACTAGGCTCTCCTAGGTTCCTCACCCCACCTAGCCACCAACCCCAGAAGAAGCTCTAATACAATTACATGCAATAAAGCTTACATAATCCTTCAACTAAAAGACTCAGCCCTACAATGGTTAGATTCAGACGAGAGTTGCACAATAAGGCCATGTCAATCACTATAATAGTATTTAACCTTTAATGCATGTAACTTAACATATTCATTCAATAATTACCTCACATCAATTTGAGTCCCACAAAGGACAAAGCCAGAAGCTTTCGAGCATCGAAAAATCTAACCTGTGCTTCACGTAATTAGGCCATTCTATCAAATATCTGATATCCATATCAGCATGCAGTTTTATAAGCTTAATCAACATGCATATAAAGACATCTCTCATAGCATTCTATCATGCAATCCTAATCAAATCCTTAGCCCTAATCTGGCATGTAATTCTTATAACATATAACATAACATCATGTGTGGTTAATCTGGGAATCACTAACTTGAGCTCAGCTAATTGCACGCGTCACAACCCCTTTGTTCTTTATAAAAATCCTTGACCAAACTTATTTTCTTTCAAAATATTACCAATTCCTTAGTTGAGCTCAGACACAACTGAGAGTGTGCCTGAATCCCTCAAACCAAGGCTCTGATACCAACTTGTAACGTCCCAAAAGCTCATAATAAAATTATCATATTAAAATCACTTAGAACATACAAATGAGTAGTTCCAAAACCAATCAAAGTGATTATATCATTTAAACATCAGTGTAAAATCATAATAGCAAATGCAGAAAACTCTAGGGGATTCCGTGCAATCACTTTGACCCCTTTCCTTTCGTACCAGAACTACATGTAACCATAACCATAAAACCGTAAGCCCAAAGCTTAGTGAGTTCCTTATAATACCACATACCATAATTACGAAGGGCCCCACATGGTATATATAAACACATGTAAGAGACACAAAGATAAATAGCATAATATAAACATGACCAATGTGATGACCTTGGTGCCTTCGACCCACTAAGACTGTGAGTAGACTCACCTCAAACAGAAGATATATGAATAACACACGCGCTTCTAATACGAAAGCTTTTGACACTTAATATATCCAGAACCAATCCTAATTAATAATTAGGGTAACAACCCAAAATCATATTCTCGCTTACTATGGGTAAAAGACAACTTTACCCTCCTAAGGATGAACTCTCCCAATCAAGGCTCAAGGCCTAAAATAACTTATTCCTAATTTTAGGAGTACGTTATACACTCGTTAACTACGTGTTGCATACTAAGTTTCCACAAAAGAGAAAATGGGGCAAAACCTGTTCAAGAATTATATATTTAAGAATGCTATTTTATAAGATTTTTTTTAATTTTTTATTACATTCTGTTAGAATATATATATATATATATATATATATATATATATATATATATATATATATATATATATATATATATATATATATATATATATATATATATATATATGAACTTGTATTTAAGTTTGGATGTTTATGAATATGCAATAATTTTGTTATTCTTGCATAACATTCTAAGAGAACACTATCATAGAACATATTCTAAAAAAATAATATTCTAACGAAATAAAATGTTTCTTTCAAGATAACCAAAAACATATTCTATTAGAATATCCGAACTAATATAATAATTAAAAAAATATAGATTTTTAAAGTTAAGAGAATATATTATTCTATAAAATCTACAATTTTCTTTTTTAAATTTATGTTAATTGGCTAAAATACACCTACAGAGATTATATGATATTTTTCAATTATCTCAATAATATTTACTAACCAATTTTTTAAAATAACCAAATGATTGGTCCATAATGAATCCTATATCCACACAATAGATACTTAGAACACAATAACCTAACTCACTTATCTCTCTCTATCTATCTATCTCTCTCCCTTTATATATATATATATATATATATATATATATATATATATATATATATATATATATATATATATATATTCATGATTCTTTACAAATGTACACATAAACATATGAATGATTGTACATTATTAGTCGTGGAACAATCCATTATATATCACATTTGATGTGTAGAATTCGCTATCGTTGAACTTGTTTTCTTAATTTTTTTGTTTCTTTTATAAAAGCTTTGATGATGATTTGATAATTTGGAATTTTAATGGTGTAATGGTGATAAGGATTTATGGGATTTAAATTTGGATTACTAAATTTCGAGGGTTTGTTGGGGATCAACAAGAGTTTAAATCCTTTTATATTTTTTTATTGTTTGTCCGATATTCATTTACTTTTTTTGGCAACGTTTTCATTTTTAAGACACATACAAACCCATTTATTTTCTCTAAAGCATATGATTAATTATAAATATATAAGAGAAATAAAATAGCAGTGGTTCATGGCCTCCTGTGGCCTCTAAAGAGCTCTACCACTGCTCTATGGTTTGGCTCGTATTGTTGATCTATGCCAAGCACGACTAACTAAAAGAATAAAAAGTCAAATAAATTAACTTTTGTATTTAATTTGAATTGTATAATTTTTTTTGGTGGTCATGGACTTGGAAAAAAAAGGATTAAAATGAAAAGAAACGCATAGGTTTTGCCTTAATTTAATAAATCTAAAATAAAATTTTGTGATTAAAAAGCCTAAATTCATTGAAGTTCAACATAGAGTATTTACATATGTTGTTCCATGTCAAATCTTACATAGTAGAAATGAAAAGAAAAAGAGAAGCACCGTGTATTTTTCACAAAACTACATGCATATATTCTAACATAAAAAATAAAAATAAAAGAATTTAAGATATTCTTTCACATTAACAAATGTCTTATTAGAAAACATATACATGGCACTCTTTAGTACTATAAGATTAGACTGTGTAATATAAGATTTGTTTTGTTAGCAGATGGTCTAATTCACATTGGTTTGGTTGAACAAAATCCTCTGTTCATTTTGGTTATGGCAGGTACCTCTCAGTCTCATCTTCAAATTTCACAAAGTTATAGCCTTTGATCAAATCCACCATTCTCTGAGAAAGAAAAGCGAAACCACAGTTTTGACCATGTTAGAATATGACCTTTTCGATAAACCCAAATTAGAGTATGTATATAAAACGGGTTTTACCCAAACAAGAAATCTTTTAATTCTCATTATTAAAGGGTATTTATGACATTTGGTTAATGATGTGACTTACCTATTGTTGTCATTAGATCTACAGTAAAGACGGTAACCTACACAAGGAACATGAAAAAGGGTCAAACATGAAACTTTTTTGAGTTAAATTAACAAATGATGCAATATTATAATGTTTTTTTTTCATTTTTGTTAATAAAATATATTGCATAGGGTAGCATGTAAACATAAGGATATTGTTTAATAAATGATTTTATACTAAATATTTTACCACTATGGTATATTGGTTGTCAACTCCACAGTCCTAAATCAGATCTATGGCTACAATTACCATGCCACCTGAATAGTAGACAAAATGAAATTAATTTAGAGAGTAGACATTGATATAAAAAAAATAAACTTACTACATTAATGATTAAAGAAAAAAGTTGCAATGTATATTAATATATTTGTAAGTAAAAGTAATATGCTTGTGTTAACATTCACAACATCCTAATCAAACAAATGAAAGGTATCATTGTCTCAGCATTGTTGATCTAAATAAAAATATAGCTACTGAGCCATCAGAAAGAATAATATCAACCTGAGTAACCATCTAAGGTTTAGTATAAAAGAACTTCTCCAGAACAAATCGAAATACTTTATCGCTTTGCGATTAAGTTAATATGTTCAGTAGCTTGCTTTTAAACTAAACTCAATTATAACGATTTGGAACTATCAAAAGTACATCGCTTTATTAGGAAAACCAGCCACACATAAATGAGAACATCACTCCTAATTAATTTTTATAGCAAAAGTGAAACAAATTACAAACATACCCTTTACTTATCCTGGCAATAGATTTAAGAGCACACTGTGCATGCTATTAGGGTAGAAAAAGGAATTGCACTTATATCCTAAAAGATCATGAAAGCAACATATAGATTCGATGTAGTTGGGAATTGGGATAGAGATGAAGAAAATGAACATGAAAAGAAAGGTTAATGATGTTAAAAAAAAACCATAATACATACCACGTGTGAGATTGTTGATGGTTTTGAGGTAAATTGATCTTCTACATGAATGGAAAAATCGGAGTAAGTACCTCTCATAGCTGTTGGATGAAGTGCCCTAAAAATTTCTTGCCTAACATTAAGAGTCTGAAATGTCATAGAGAAAATTGCAAATCAAACCAGGAAGATACGTGGATGATAAAATAAATAAGCTCAAACAAATGCAGAAGTATAAGAGGACACACAGAGATAACAAATGCATTCAGTCATCAGAACCAGAATTCAACTATATTGCAATATTCATTTTAGAGTGGAAAATGAAACTAAATTTCCATTCACAGAGATAACATACGCACAGTAATCCCAGCTGCGAAACAAATCTCCACCGCTTCCTTAACCCCTCGCCTAAGTGATCCTTAATACCAACAACCGCAATCAACGTATACCCACAATCAGGCAACTCAAAAATCGGGGATTGAGAAAAAAGTTATGCATAGTAAAGACTGAATAGTATCTTAAAAAAATCAAGAATCGGATTATAATTACCTTCAAGTTCTTCAATGTGCTTGACAATTCACGCTTAGCCATCGCTGATAATTTGAAATTAGTATTACCTGTTCGGTGTTCAGGGCATAATTGTGCTTGTAGTTTCTGATGTTCGTCGACAGATGATGACGATTACAGAGGATAAATGACTTGGGAAAAGAAATCGATGATGTTCATTTCAAGATGTCGATGGTGGTTTTGTACATTTTTTGTGTGTGTGATTGTGAGGTGTGTGAGTTTGTAATCACAGTAAACGGGGACATACCTCGCTGTAGGGATCTCGAATACATGGTAATTTGAAATTAGGGTTTCCATTTCATTCTGATGGCGATTGCAAGAGAGAGAGAAAGAGAGGCGAGAAAGATCACTACATCTTTGGTAGGGGAAGTCGGCAGCCATGGACGTTGGTTGAGATCACTGCATCATTGGTGGAGACGATGAGAATTGGTTTGATGGCGGCTATGTTTAGGAGATTAGGGTAAGATATGTGTAGTATGTAGTGTGTAGTGTAATACTTATATGATCCGTGTAGTGTAACACGTATAAAATTGGTTATATGCTTAATATTATTGTATATGAGGTAACATATATTGTACCTCTTAATTTTCAAGTAATGAGCAATATCCTTATTAATAATATATATATATATATATATATATATATATATAAAGAGGAACAAGATGGGTGCAACTTGTATTTTTTTATTAAGAATAAAATAAAGATGAAAATAATGTTTTTGTTTGATTTTGGTGAAAAGCTATAAACATTTTTTTATTTTACAACCGGTAGTGTTTTAATAAGGATTAGATAACCGACGAAAGTAAGGTTTTTGTTTGACTTTTGCCGAAAGCTCTCGTTCACCAACTTTTCCTACGGCTATGATTGATAAGGATAGAGAATTGCATATGGGAAGTAGACAAGTAGTGAATTAGTTTTCATTTAGTTTAATTTATATATTTACTATTCGATAATTAACCAAATAATTAAAGAACAATACATCTACAAGAGCATTTACAAAATTTAACGAGTGAGTTAGGTTAACATGCAAACCATAATTATAAACCAATGTGAATTTAGAAATAAAATAAACGATTAAGGGATAATAACTTAAAAGGTAATATATTTTTCGATTTGTATACGTTTGGTTGAGGTTTTTTTTTTCTACATTTATCTCTTTATTTTGTTAACTTGTACACATTTAATCCTTATTACCGGCTACTGTAGGTTAGCATGTAAAAATAACTTAATGTGGTAATATATTTCTTACTTTGTACACATTTAGTTATTAATGTTTTTGTACCCAATTAATCATTACTATTTTTTTATTGCAAAAAAAAATCATTTTTGTTTTTGTACTCATTCGGTACTTATCAATCATTTCTTTAGGTTTTTATCACGATATCTTATGTGAGATAATCATTAATAAGGTGTTTGAAGTTTTTGATGCCTATGTCCATCACGATCTCGACTACTTGGTTGCTTAAGTCATGTATTCTGAACGTCATAGCTTCTTCATACGATCTCAGATTTTATGATCTTTATATCCATATGTTCATATTTTAGTCTACTACAACTTTCATTTGGATTACTCCCGTTAAAATGTAATATATTTTTACTTACGATCTTTATATCTATATGTTTTATATGAATGCATGTATGGATATTTTTTTTATAAAAGCATAAGTAAAAATATAATTACATTTTAACGGGAGTAATTTTAATGAAAGTTGTATTAGACTCAAAAAACGAACACATGAATATAAAGATCGATAAAATCTGATATCATATGAAGAAGCTACGATGTTCATAACAGAAGATCTAAACCAAACCACAAGACCTACACAACCAAGCAGTCAAGATCACAATGGATATAGGCATCAATAGCCCCAAACACCTCATCAATGATTGTCCTACGTAAGATGACGTGAAAAAAACCTAAAGAAATCATTCATAAGTATCGAATGAGTACAAAAACAAAAATGAGTTATTTTGAACCAAAAAAAACTTATTAAGGACTAAATGTGTACAAAAATATTAATGACTGAAGGTGTACAAAGTGAAAAATATGTTACCTTATTAAGTCATTTTCCCAGCTAACCTAGAGTAACCGGTCATAAGGACTAAATTTCTACAGTTTAACAAGTTGAATGGGTAAATGTGGACGATAAAAAGTTCAGTAACCAAATATATACAAATTAAATAATATATTATCCTTTTAATTCATTATCCCAATGATTAATTAAATAAATATAGGTATGATGGACATTTTCCTCTGATCTATCTAAATTAAAGTAGTGATATATGGAAACAATTTAAAAGTAAAGTAGCGATATATGGAAACAATTTAAAAGACGTTTTCAAATGCTAGTATGATTTTCAATCAATATATTATTGTAATCGATGTTAAATATTATGCCTACAAATAATTTAACTTTCAAAATGATTTTAATGATTTGGAAAAGGGTGTATCTTGATGGTCAACTTGAAACATATTATCACTCTCTATTGATGATGAGAGTTTTGCTAATTTGAAGGGCATTGCAGACCTTTTTCTTTTGATGGTTGAAACCAAGGTTGTAAATGGCGTGAGGCATGGCGGCAAGGTCAAGCCTCAAGCTTAACGAGCCATGGCGAGCCATGGCGTTTTTCAAGGCGTGATGTAAGGTGGCGATTTTGTATTAATTTAAAATTATATTACCACATAAATATAACTTTATATTAAATATAACTACTTTTTAGAAGTCTTAGATCAATAACTAGTAACAAAAATTTAACAAAAACCACAATACTTATATCTCCGATTAGAAAATACATAAAAAAGAGCAAAAAACCGTGTCTCAAACGAAAAAACACGCGCCATAACACGCCATAACGCGCCATGGCGCGCCATATCACGCTTTGCCACGCGCCATGCCTAACAGCAACATTATGAGACTTATCGTAACGGCGGAGCCACGCCTCACGCCATGGCGCGCCATGGCGCGCCTTTTAGAACACTAGTTGAAACTGGGACATCGTTCTTTTTCTCTGGTTTATAGTTTATTAAAGTTGACTTTGGTTTTTCCCGTAGCAACCACAACCATTGAAAGATGTTTTTTTTTTCACAATGAAGCTCTTGAAGATTGACTTTCGTAATAAAATGGATTATGATTTTTTTTAATGATGCTTTGATTTGTAGTGTAGAAAAAGAAGAACTTATGGATGTTAAGATCGAACAAGTGATAGAGCACTTTTGGAAAGCGGGAAATCTTATAGGTCAACTTTAAAATGTTATGTAAAACTTTTGTGCTAGTTTGTTATTACTATTGAAATCATAATTAAAAACTTTATTTTACTATCTTTTATTGGAATTTTTTTGTTACCTCTTTTAAATGTTTCTGGTTCCACCACTAATGCTTTTCCCAGTAAATCATGGGGTTTTTTTAGAACCTCAAATCTGAATGTTATGGCAAGCATGACAAGACAGGTCATTTTAGACTACTTTAGCAGCGTCGCAAATAAATAAGTGATTATCTTGAACTTATAATTATGATTAGTATCTCCTTAATAGTTATAATTTTATATTGGTAAGTACGATTTTGTCAAAATATTATAAGTAGGGACCTTAGGATCGTTTTTATGATTATGATGAAATTTGTTTTTTAAGTCTTGAACTCTTTAAGAGTTTGTCTGTTTCTCAAATTATAGTCTTCTATCAAAATTGTGTCAAATTGATGATTCTCGGTATAATCACTGTTCACGTCACTACAGTTCAGTATGACATTGTGCATCGATTAAGCTCCTGATGCTGCGATGACAAACAATATCGTGAAGAAGGTGAAGGATCCCAGAAGAAAACTGCCCAATAAATTAGTGACATTCTAAAGGCTATAGGCGATTTTTTTTTGTCAAAGATAGGCAATAAGAAATAAGGAATGTGACAAGAAAGCATAATGATTTTCATAGGGAACTGTCGATGATTCTGACAATGAGAGCAATTCATCTGGGAAGTTAGGAAAGAAAAATGAGGAAGATGGAAGCAATGGCAAAACGGTTACAGCTAGATTTAACGGCTAGGATAGTATTTTGAGATTCCAGGCATCGAAGAAATAGAAAAACTCAAGTCAGTCACCCTACGGATGGAAAGAGGAGAACTCACATGGTACCGTTTGAGTAAGACTCAAACACCGTTTTTGTCTTAGGATGTTACAACGTCTTCTCTTGGAAAGGTTTCAACCTTTATATGAGGGGGTGTTGAAATATCTCATTTTATCATTTCAAGATTAACATTGAGAATGATTTTTTGGTGTGGTTATAAAATGTGATTTATTTAATACATTAGGTGTTATGTGAAATTGTGTCAAGCCATGGGGGGGGGGGGGGTGTTTTTTGGTTGTTTATATTGTCCATGTGGAGCATTTGTTGGAAAGTATTAAAAACACACGGACCTTCACTGGCAGGTTTGGTTTGGGTTTGGAGCCGACTTTTACTCGGACTTGATCCAAGTTATACTCTAATCTATATATACTTTGGATCAAGAGTTAATGAAGGCATGATTGTTCATTTGTTCATTTCTCAGTTGCTCTCGTTTCTTTTTTCTTCTTCACACAGTTCTTCATTCGGTATTAGGGTTTCTAGGGTTTGTTCAAATATCTCTTTGTTGCAAACTGTGTAATAGAAGCTTTGTCTTGTGTATTTGTGTTGTAATTTGAGAGAGAGTGATTTTCTAGGTGAGGTTTCATTTGTAAGTACTTGAAAACCAACTGTATCATATTTTCATATATAAAATATATGTTTATGTTGTGATAACCTTAAGTTTTCAATGTACTATTCGAGCCAGAGCCATCTCTTTTATGTTTTTCGTCAGTGTCACTCGTCGTGTCTAGATCTGTGTAGATCTAGGGATTGTGGCTTGGATTTTTATTGAAATTATTTCTTTTTTTGTTGTTTTTCATCATATCATTATCATCACTCTTAGTAGTAAACGATTGGTTAATAGTAAACACTAGCATTAGCCTCCTTGGTTATCATCTATTGGTGAATGTTAAGGCATTCGGTCAACTCCAAGTGTTGTGCAAACGACAGATCTAAGGTGGTTCGGGCATTTTCATGCCATATCTGAAATTATTTTTACTCTCAATCAAATTGATTGATCTAACAATAAACTATGTTGCGGGTTTGCAAAGCGTTTTATTGAGGACTCAATAATTTTCATACACCTCTTCTTCTTTTCATTTCAGATTGATTTGTATTGGGCTTTGGTCATGTTTTTGTGTGATATGTGTGCTTATTCTTCTTTTAGTTTGTTATATAGTTACGTCTGGGCTATTCGTACC